TTTTGTTTTTGGGGGGGGGGGGGGTTTTTTATCTTACCCCCCCCCCCCCATATACCACAGGGGGCATCCAGATTTCTGATGTCTCCCTCCTGCAGACCCCTACATCCACTGTGCCAGGGATGTGGAGATGTGGTCCTTGTGCCCATTAGCATGAGGACAAGGTGCCTTGCCAGGGCATGGAGGTATTATCACCTTCCTCTGCCAGGTACCTTTCCTGTGGTGCGGTTATGTAATCTGTATGGTTCAGGAGGGGAAGGCCACACACTGAATGCTCCCTCCTTTCCTGGTCAGGCAGGCTGTTTTTTTAATGGGATCCTTAACCACTTGAAGATGCGTTTGCGTGTGTATGTGGGGTGGGGGCGGACTTTAAAAAAAAACATTGTATTATTTTTTTTAAAATTATTTGTGACTTTTTTTTAGCTTCTTTTATTTTTTTTATGTTTTAATTTTGTTTTTAACACTTAAAGTGACATGAAACCCTCAGATTTTTTAACATAACCCAATACTGTAATGTGCGCCTTCCTGTAATCCATGGTTGTTCCCCTTCTCTTTGCTGCTCTTCCTTTTAAATCCTCATGTCTTCTCATGCTGGGGGAGAACTTCTGTTTTGCAGCAGACTGCCTTGTCTCAGGAATTGATACACGGTGTCTGTGTATCCGTTTGTATAGGCTTGTAACCTGAGCCGGCACTACAGGAACAGGCCCTGACCTGAAAAGGGAAGTTCTCCCCCAGCATGAGAAGACATGAGGATTTAAAAGGAAGAGCAGCAAAGAGAAGGGGAACAACCATGGATTACAGTAAGGCGCACATTACAATATTGGTTTATGTTACACAATCTGAGGGTTTAATGTCACCTTAACTTTATTGTTATCACATAGGGGGCTAGGAAACCTCTACGTGATAGCCAACTCACATAACAGGTCCTCTTTATGGAGACATCAGGGGTCTCTAAGGTGATTAGGGGTGCACACCCGCAGCTCATTCAATCGATCGGGCGTCTCTAGAGACACCCAATTGCTTGAATGTACACAGCCATCGCTGTAGTTCCACTGCCGTACAGTACAACACGGCACTCAGACTCTGGATGATGAGGTCACAGTACACATTCCTTACCTTTCTTTATAAATCTGACGTAGAGGAACCCAAATATTCCCAGAAGTCCTACAGACAGAAGGGTCACAAGTACAGCTCCTATAACGGCTCCTCTGTTGTCTTCTCTCTCTGTAATAATGAAGAACAAAATATCATCCGGATGTAGAAATGTTCCCAAACATGAAAATGATTGCCGGCTGATAATATCTGAACCGAGTGGTATCACCACAGATACACCCAACCCTGCCAGACACCCTACAGGACTATGTATGAAGGTGTCTGAAGAAGTCTTCTCCCTTTCATTGTCTATCCCGCCCCAGCAATGATATAAAAGGAAGATTTGGTTGGTTTTTAGGACAATACAGACAGTTTCGCTGTACACACATTAACCAACCTGAGGTCTAATATGAACCAGAGAAGGAAGGAGAGTTGTTGCTGCTGAAGAAATGACAGAACACAATATTGTCAGTACAGAAAGAAAACGACATCAAGATATGTGACATGTTCCAGATTAAAGTGTCTAGAAGATAATACAATCTGTCCCCAATAAGCCCAACCAGCCAAATATTACACTTTATATGCCAATAATGTCTATATCACGGCTTCACAGTATAGACAGTGCATACAGTATGTACAGTATAAATATGGCATATCCAATAGAAATACTGAACCAAGGATATGTTCATGAACTTGAGAGTCCAGAGAAGGGCAACAAAATTAACCCCTTCACAACCAGTGACGTACATAGAACATCATTGGCAGCGGGCCCGGCTGTCGGCTTTACAGTAGAAGTGATTCTGGTGGCTGCCACCAGATCGCTCCTACATGCCCCAGTGTGCAGGGGGCATGTCAGATGCTGGACCGCATTGTGTGTAATAGCAATGGTCTAACTCTCCAGCCTGCTGCCAGCACTCAGTATTTTACACAAAAGGGAAAAGGCCAACAGAATTATTACTGTATATGTGTGTACGGAACTTACCTTCCTCGCTCCATATTCCACAACATCCGGGTCCAGGGCTGAGCTCCAGCCACCTCACTCAGCTCCACCCCCCTAGCAGGTTAAGCTGATAGATTCCAGACACATGGGGCAATTGATCAAAACTGGAGTAGATGTGCACGGCAACCAATCAGCTTCTCTCTTCAGTTAAGATTTGAAAATGAGAGAGAAAGAAGCTGATTGGTTGCCGTGCACAGCTGGTCCAGATTTTGTTTGCTCCAATTTTGATCAATTGCCCCCATAGTGTTCAAGCAATTTGCCTGCTGCCGGGTATCTTCAACCTCCCTTCTCTTGCCTGCTGATCTGCTCTCCATCCTGAACTGTGATCCTGATTTACTAATCTCCTGTCTTTGCTCCCTTATGCCTGGTTCACACCTGAACGTTTTGTAGCGCGTTCTACGCTCGACGAACGCTCTACAAAACGCTCAAACATCTAAATCCCATTGTATTCAATGGGTCTGGTTCCCACCTCGGCGTATTTCCGCCTGTCCCTAACGCGCTACAAAACGGCCTACACCCAAAGAAGTACATGCTGAACCCTGTGCTGCCATCATTACCCACGCACTACTCAGCTGCCAAGCACAAACCTTCACTCAAGTTAACCCATGCTGCACAGAGCCAAGAGGATCACCTGCTAACCAACAGCGAACTGCATAGGATGTTCTCATTCGATCCAGGACTACTGAAGCTCTTCACTGCAAGTACTTTACAACCTTCTCTACTTGTCTACCTTATTGTGTTCATTCCTTGGATTAAGTGACTCTTAACTTTTTATAAGCGAGAAGTATTGCAACCAAGTTGTGGATTTCCTTTCATCATTAATTCCAATTGTGTGGACTGTTTTTAGTCATTCCTAACGCATGGTCATGGCTATATGAAGTAATATGGCCAAGCAACCCAGATTGTCTCTTGGACTGTTATTGCTACTCTAAGGTGCGATTTACCCCACTTGCAGTGCGTTCAGCCCGATTCCGGCTGGAACGCACTGCATTGCGGCCGGCTCACTTTTTTGCCAGGTTGGAGGTGGCGTGCGCCTGCAGTCTCGTGTGGTGCGGTCAAAATGCTGCAAGCACTATTTTGACCGCACTGGACCGCAGGCAAAATGTGCCCTGCGATCCCGTGCGGGCGATCGCATTGCGGCCGGAGGGCGTGGCTACGGCGCCATTCACTTCAATTGCCCGCCATGCCCCTTCCTGCCCGGCAAAAAATTGAGCCGGCCGCAATGCGATGCAGTGCGTTCCGGCCAGAATCGGAATGCACTGCAAGTGGTGTGAACGGGCCCTAAAGGTAATTTCTTATGCGGAAGAAGATTGTCTGTTCAGTTTTGTATTGCTGTAGTTGCAAGGTTGCAGCTGCAGTTGAGGTCCAGTGACACATGCATACTTGTGCGTTACAATATGGAACCTGAGTGCATTACAGTAATAGGGGAAGAAGGTCCATCTGGACTTTATGCTGACCTTGTGTTGGAAGCTAAAATAATTGACATCTATGATACATCTTTGATGGAAAGGTTCCTTAATATCGTGAGCTGCCCGTGCTGTTTGATATGCAAATGAAGACCATCAAAGGGTTCTTGGGGCTGGACACTGATCAAAGGAGATCTGCTGGACTGTCATGTCCTGGGGCAAGCCCGACCCCCTGCTGGTATTTACTGCCCTCACCTGTGTCAGCAAGGCATATATGCTGGGATGGGGGCAGGGGCATGTGATGGAACCTTCTTCCTGTGTGACACTAACCTAGCTGACAATCAAGACCTTTGGACAAGACAAGTCTTTCTGAACTCTGCAATCAAGAATGTGATTCGCTGAGACCTGCTGGAGAGGCGTGTCCGAAGAACAGAGAAAAACCCATGGCTTGTGTGAATGAGAGAGAGAGAATGGTGTAGCTAGCTGTAGGATCCTTAACCTCAATTCCTATCCCCAATTCCCCTTTCAAATTCCCTTAATTGTAATATGAATGTATATCCCTATTTGTAAATAAACCCGACACTTATTTAAGATTCAGTTGTTCATCAGTAATTTAAGGCACCCCCAAATCAGAGCACATTCTACATTTGGCACCCCAGAAAGAGTGTGGAAATTCCAAAATCCACATAGAACCTACTAGACGGAATTGCTCTAATTCAAGTTGCTGAAAGAACAGACCAGACCTGTTGCACGGATCTCGTGGTGAAGTCAGCTGGATCTTGGACTTCGTAGAAGGGTTGAAAGTGTGGTGAGTTGTTCAGTGGCTATGCAAAAGTTCTAATTGCCGGGAATCGTACGGTTCTGGGCGAGTTAAGGTGCCCATACACCTTACGATTATAGGAGGAAACGTTTCGTCCGATGATCGAATAGTCGTACGATTTTCGTACGGCAGCCCCATCCTGCCCCGATGATCGCAAGATTAATTTCGCCGTAATTAACGAAAAGCACCTGGGCGAAATGCGGTAATTGATTTGTCGTATTTTGGTTCGCGCATGCGCAGTGGAGATTGTACGACTTTTGACGGTCGGAAACGCCAGCAACCTAACGACAATCGTACGATCGAGCAAAGTTTTCAAACATGCTTGACCGTCAAAAGTCGTACAATTGTACAGTAATGTCGGTTCGGGCACTCTATTCACACGTACGATTGTCGTTCGAAAAGTCGATCGCATACGATTATCGTCCGATAATCATAAGGTGTATGGGCACCTTTTAATGGCCTGCTGGTTCGACAACTGCCGAACGGGCCGGTGTGCACACGCGCACACTGCCCGGTCGCAGTTATCGTAAGCCCGCCCCTCATTACAGTCATCGTAGGCCCGCCCCTAGGGCGATGATCGCAAGTACGATCTGCCTGTCCAAGATGGGCAGATCGTACGTTTTTTAAATTACTTTACAACCATCGCAAGACTAAGGTCTTGCGATGGTTGTAAAGTGTATGGCCACCTTAAGAAGGATGTGTAGAAGCCCAAAGACCGTGTTCTATGTAGAAGTCACAGGTATGCTGAGCTCATCTTTCTGCACACTAGTGCAATAAAACTACAAGAACCTCAAGTGAGTGGTGCCCGTCATTCTGTACATCCTGAGAGAAGAATCACTCTGAGGTGAATGTGCCTGGGACCTTATGGCCAAGTAAGTGAGCCTATGACATTCACAATGTAATTGCTGATGAGCTGATGGTCAATAATTGGCCTCACCTGTGTACTCTGCACACTTCCTGTGTTATCACAAAGACAGTAATTAGCCTTCCTAGTCCTTATCCTGGGACTGCAGAATGATTGGTGTTTTATGGGAGAGTTGGTGGGTCGGAGTAGTTTGGAAAGAAAGATTTGAGCAAGGCTGACAACATTCAGTCCACATACTGTAATTGCAGCGTGTTGTCAGCTCACAACATGACTGAGGAGCCGAGTGCCTCTTGTGTATCTGTTTTCCACCACACTGCAGTTTACAACATGACTGCTGACACAAAAGATATTACTGACCTGTCACTGTGAGGGTGAAATTCCTGGACAGCTCATTCTGGAGGGATCGGTGGGTGATAAGACAGGAATAAGTGTTCCCATTATCCTCCATCGTGGGGTTCAGGGTCAGTAGACTTGTCACATTGAATGTCCCATCTGAATTCTCCAGCACACTCTTCGCACAGGTCCAGATGTCTAGGAGCTCACACTCAGAGGATCCCTTACGATACTGAGCCCAGCGGATGGAAACATCTTTTGGATAAAAATTGTGAACGTCACACATCATTGTCTTCTCCGTCCCCAGCTCGATGGTTGGATCGGCCGGAGTCACCTCAGCTGATGGAGGAACTGTGTAGAGAGAAATAATTATTGTTAATTTCTGTAGAAAACACAGGAGGTCATAATCACAGAATGTGCAGCTTATAACACTCGGGAAGCATGAGGCGGATGTTCATAAATATGCCCAGAAGAAGCTATAAGCAGAAAAACCAAAAACAGCTAAAAGGTGGAGCCGATGAAAACCACAGAGGAGACTCTTCCAGCCAGCCGGTGAAGTCACTGAACTCCCTCCAGTCCCCACAGACATCACTAGAGGGAGCATTCCCTATGGGAGAGATTCCGTATCTAGTGACAGAAAACACTACCCAGCGCAGTCATTCAGTGTGGAAGATTTCGGGTCTCTTTGGTGACCTTTCCTCATAGCAATGTCTTATGTGTAGCTGCCGGTTTTATTTGCAGAGTACAAGTGCCACAGAAGAAGTACCACCAAGCCTGTCAGGGGCTTAAATAGCTGCACATACTGTCCTTCTCCCCCCTATCCCTGTTCTGGTCTCCGCCCCACCCGCACCAGCCTCCCCTTTTTTCTCCCCACTATGCTCAAAGTATGGGATGCCTTGCTTAGCTCCGCCAATATTTCTTCGTATTATGGCCCTCTTTCCCAAGTCATGGACAACCCTGACTTTCCTCCGGCACGCCTCACCCGCCAGTTCCTTGGTTGGGAGTCTCGATCCTTTAGCCCTATTTGTCAGGCTATGCAGGCGGGCACTTTGCGGCCCCTCATCGGGTTGCTGAAGAGGGAGGCTGTGATGCCGGGTAGCTGGCTGGCGTATTTTCAATTGCGCGATTTCCTGACCGGGCTGGCTGCGAGAGGTTGCCCAACGAGGGAGCTTTCTCCCTTTGAGAAATTATGTGTCTCCAGAGACCCCCCAGCACACATGATTTCTACTATATACAGGTTTTTGCTGTCAGAGCGCGCCTCCTTTGTGAGGGTCTGGGAGAGAGAGATAGGATGCAACCTCACGGATGAGGACATCTCTAAATCCTTTGCCTTGACACACACCATGTCCGTAGCGAGCAGATATCAAGAGAGAAATTATAAGGTCCTGTCGAGATGGTACTACTGTCCTACTAGACTCCAGGCCATGTATCCATCTACCTCTGCACTATGCTGGCGGTGTCTGTCACATCCAGGGACGATGTTGCACATCTGGTGGTCCTGCCCTCTGCTGACCTCGTTTTGGGAAACTATTTTCGATACCTATGATCAGATCTTTCACACCAAGGTGGACAGGTCTCCACAGGTGGCCCTTCTGTCCGTGCTGCCAGGTTCGGTCTCATCGGCTAAGAAGGGTCTCCTCAGATTTTTCGTGATGGCGGCTAAGGCGGTTATACCGCGTCACTGGAAGTCGAGTACTCCCCCTACTACCCGTGAGTGGGTTCTTGAAATGCATAATATATGCCGGATGGAGGAGCTCACTGCAGCTCTGTACCACCGAGATGCCAAGTTTACTGCTACTTGGAGTGTCTGGTTGCATTTCTGCACTACTGAGGGCTTTACCAGTCTGGTGATGCTGTAATTGGACACCTCAGTAAAAGAGATACATTGTAGAGTACCCCGGACCGTGGCTGTACCATACCCCCCCTCCCCCTACTTTCCTCTTCCACCCCTCTCTCTCTTTCCTCCCCCCCAGCCGGGAGGGCTGGAGGCTCCCACCTTGTGGGAACAATCTGGAGCTGTGGTGTTCATTGTCATTGGACCATTGTCCTCCCTAGCTTACAGTCAAGTTATTTGATGCATATTACGAAGGTTGTATGATGTTGTTGTGCCTTAACACTGTAGTGCTGGAGTGACTTGGGAGTGGCCATGATGTTTATGTCTTTATTGCACTTGATGTATATGCTCCAGGTCTTTCATGTTCTTCTGTATTGTCTTGTTTACTGACATGTACGAAAATCTTCAAAATAAATATATTCTTTAAAAAAAAAATAGCCTAACCCTAACCTACACAGATTTACCTACAAGTGTCTTGGTGTGTAGCCGCATGCAGAGGTTTAAGAAGGAATGTTAGTTGTTCATGTGGTCACTTCCCTCTACTGCTGGATATAGGTGATGCTGGGAATGGGATACGGATGGGGAGGTGCAGGGATTGGGATACGGATGGGGAGGTGCAGGGATTGGGATACGGATGGGGAGGTGCTGGGATTGGGATACGGATGGGGAGATGCTGGGATTGGGATATGGATGGGGAGGTGCAGGGATTGGGATACGGATGGGGAGATGCTGGGATTGGGATACGGATGGGGAGATGCTGGGATTGGGATACGGATGGGGAGGTGCTGGGATTGGAATATGGATGGGGAGGTGCAGGGATTGGGATATGGATGGGGAGATGCAGGGATTGGGATACGGATGGGGAGGTGCAGGGATTGGAATACGGATGGGGAGATGCTGGGATTGGGATATGGATGGGGAGGTGCAGGGATTGGAATATGGATGGGGAGGTGCAGGGATTGGAATATGGATGGGGAGGTGCAGGGATTGGAATATGGATGGGGAGGTGCAGGGATTGGAATACGGATGGGGAGATGCTGGGATTGGGATAAGGATGGGGAGATGCTGGGATTGGAATACGGATGGGGAGATGCAGGGATTGGAATACGGATGGGGAGGTGCTGGGATTGGGATACGGATGATGAGGTGCTGGGATACGGATGGGGAGGTGCTGGGATTGGAATATGGATGGGGAGATGCAGGGATTGGAATATGGATGGGGAGGTGCAGGGATTGGAATACGGATGGGGAGGTGCTGGGATTGGGATACGGATGATGAGGTGCTGGGATACGGATGGGGAGGGGCTGGGATTGGGATACGGATGATGAGGTGCTGGGATACGGATGGGGAGGGGCTGGGATTGGGATACGGATGATGAGGTGCTGGGATACGGATGGGGAGGGGCTGGGATTGGGATACGGATGATGAGGTGCTGGGATACGGATGGGGAGGGGCTGGGATTGGGATACGGATGATGAGGTGCTGGGATACGGATGGGGAGGTGCTGGGATTGGGATACGGATGGGGAGATGCAGGGATTGGAATACGGGTGAGGAGGTGCTGGGAATATGGATGATGAGGTGCTGGGATTGGAATACGGGTGGGGAGGTGCTGGGATTGGGATACGGATGGGGAGGTGCTGGGATTGGGATACGGGTGGGGAGGTGCAGGGATTGGGATACGGATGGGGAGGTGCAGGGATTGGGATACGGATGGGGAGATGCAGGGATTGGGATACGGATGGGGAGGTGCTGGGATTGGAATACGGGTGGGGAGATGCAGGGATTGGGATACGGATGGGGAGGTGCTGGGATTGGAATACGGGTGGGGAGATGCAGGGATTGGGATACGGATGGGGAGGTGCTGGGATTGGAATACGGGTGGGGAGGTGCTGGGATTGGAATACGGGTGGGGAGGTGCAGGGATTGGGATACGGATGGGGAGATGCAGGGATTGGAATACGGGTGGGGAGGTGCAGGGATTGGAATACGGATGGGGAGGTGCAGGGATTGGAGTATGGATGGGGAGGTGCAGGGATTGGGATACGGATAAGGAGGTGCTGGGATTGGAATACGGATGGGGAGATGCTGGGATTGGAATACGGATAAGGAGGTGTTGGGATTGGGATACGGATGGGGAGGTGCTGGGGTTGGAAGACGGATGGGGAGATGCTGGGATTGGAATACGGATGGTGTCAAGGCTGGACCAGTGATAAGTGTCTAACTGGATCACAGCTGCGGAACAGGTGAAGGTTTTATTGGATGAGGAAGTTCAGTGAGCGACTCCCAATTACATTAACTGCTAGAGGGAGACCGCACTCATCATATACTTCCTGTTAAACTGAGGTGAGGAATAGTACCCCTTACCCCACACTCATAGGCGGCAAGCTGTACATGTGCGGTACCAGCGTGCGGAGTATCAAATGGGGAGATAAACAGTAGGAGTAGCCAAGGGTTAATCTCTAGTTATCAAAGCATATGAAGATATGGGACTTGTAGGCAGAGTCAATGGGGAGGTAAATGGCAGGTTATTCAGCAACAAACAATTTAGATGCACCTCTATGCAGTTTTATCAGCAGATAGCAAGCAGCGGTAAGCAATATGAGGATAGCTCATGTACTCCCCAATTACAGACTTATCAGCAGACAACAGACTTAGCGCAATCACAACCCTTCATGCGTTAATATGGCAGTTTTAGAGAATGTGTCAGTCCTACGTCTCTTAGCAGGTATAGCCAACTGAAGGAGAAGCAATCCGGATCAGCTGGAGAGGATCAGTGGGTGTGCGTGTGAGATAGCAACACATAAGCAGCATGCAAGCAGGCACAAAACATGTAGCAGGTTCAGCAAGATTTGCAATGACTTCCAGAATACTTGCGGTTGTGTGCTCTGAATAGCTCTGGGCTCACAGCGGGGTAGCAGTCTCGATTCGCCTGTTTAGTGTTTCAGGGCAGTGATCTGAGTAGACTGTCCAAGGGCAGCCTGTGGGTTCTCTGTTCGTCACTCGACTCTCCAAAACGAGAGAACGCCGAGCGACGAACCAGCTGACCCTTTACCCTGGTAGCCACGCCCCGTGGGAGGAGCCGCCGTGACGTCACGCACGAGACGACCCTTCGCTGGAGCGCGGGGACACGCCGGGTAAGTCTGTGACAGTACCCCCTCCTCAAAGCCACCCCTCTGGGGTGGAAGCGTGGAGAGGGTTTGAGCGGATGCCTGGTATGGAAGGATCTCACTAGCTTAGGAGCATGCACGTCTCTACCGAATTCCCAGGAATCGTCCTGAGGGCCATACCCCTTCCAACGAATGAGGTATTGGAGTCTATTTCTATGAACCCGAGAATCTAGGATCTGGTCTACTTCGTATTCAAGCTCTCCATGAATGGAGACGGGAGGAGGAACGGGAGGTGTCCCTCTACCAAACGTGTCTGCCCTGTGAGGTTTTAAGAGGGACACGTGGAACGTGGGGTGTATTCTTAGGGTTTTTGGCAATGTTAGACGAACCGCTACTGGATTGATGAGGCGTTCTATGGGAAATGGACCAATGAACAGCCGACTGAGTTTTTTGCTTGGAGTTTTGATAGCCAGGTTTTTGGTAGATAACCAAACAAGATCCCCTACTTGGTAAGCAGGTGGAACACGCCTCCTGAGATCGTGATATCTTTTATGTCGCTCTTGAGCTTGTTTGAGGTTGGCTTTTATTAGGTTGTTGTTCTGTTGTATGCTTTGCAGATAGTTGTTGGCAGCAGGAAGGTTGGTACCCAAGAAGGATAGAGGGAATGGGTTGGGATGGAACCCGTAGTTAGCGTGAAAAGGAGTGAACTGGGTGGAGGAGCTGGTAGAGTTATTATAAGCAAATTCTGCGAGAGGTAACCAGTCCACCCAGTCATTTCGTCACTCGACTCTCCAAAACGAGAGAACGCCGAGCGACGAACCAGCTGACCCTTTACCCTGGTAGCCACGCCCCGTGGGAGGAGCCGCCGTGACGTCACGCACGAGACGACCCTTCGCTGGAGCGCGGGGACACGCCGGGTAAGTCTGTGACAGTACCCCCTCCTCAAAGCCACCCCTCTGGGGTGGAAGCGTGGAGAGGGTTTGAGCGGATGCCTGGTATGGAAGGATCTCACTAGCTTAGGAGCATGCACGTCTCTACCGAATTCCCAGGAATCGTCCTGAGGGCCATACCCCTTCCAACGAATGAGGTATTGGAGTCTATTTCTATGAACCCGAGAATCTAGGATCTGGTCTACTTCGTATTCAAGCTCTCCATGAATGGAGACGGGAGGAGGAACGGGAGGTGTCCCTCTACCAAACGTGTCTGCCCTGTGAGGTTTTAAGAGGGACACGTGGAACGTGGGGTGTATTCTTAGGTTTTTTGGCAATGTTAGGCGAACCGCTACTGGATTGATGAGGCGTTCTATGGGAAATGGACCAATGAACAGCCAACTGAGTTTTTTGCTTGGAGTTTTGATAGCCAGGTTTTTGGTAGATAACCAAACAAGATCCCCTACTTGGTAAGCAGGTGGAACACGCCTCCTGAGATCGTGATATCTTTTATGTCGCTCTTGAGCTTGTTTGAGGTTGGCTTTTATTAGGTTGTTGTTCTGTTGTATGCTTTGCAGATAGTTGTTGGCAGCGGGAAGGTTGGTACCAAAGAAGGATGGAGGGAATGGGTTGGGATGGAACCCGTAGTTAGCGTGAAAAGGAGTGAACTGGGTGGAGGAGCTGGTAGAGTTATTATAAGCAAATTCTGCGAGAGGTAACCAGTCCACCCAGTCATCCTGAAGGTATGAACAATGACATCGGAGATACTGTTCTAGGCATTGATTTACCCTCTCAGTTTGTCCGTTGGTTTGAGGGTGGTGGGCACTGGACAGGGACTGGTCAATGCCTAAGCGGCTACAGATAGCCTTCCAAAACTTAGAAATGAACTGAGACCCTCGATCAGAGATGAGTGTGGAGGGTACCCCATGTAGTTTTACTACGTTGTTTATGAATGCTTCGGCCGTCTCTCTAGCGGTGGGTAGGTGATGTAACGGTATGAAGTGGCTCATTTTGGTGAAGCCATCCACAACCACCATAATGGTGTTATGGTCCTTGGAAGGCGGTAAGTCAACGATAAAGTCTAAGGAGAGCCTCTCCCAAGGATTGGATGGAGTTGGAAGGTTGGTTAGAAGACCGTAGGGTCGACTCTTGGAAGATTTGCAGGTGGTACAGGTGGTACAGGTAGATACGAAACGTCTGATATCGCAGGCCATGCGAGGCCACCAAAAGTACCTTTTGACTAGGTCAATAGTCTTATTCATGCCAGGGTGGCCTGTAAGAGGAGAATCATGTAATAGCTTAAGAACCGGTAGTTGCATAGTTGGGGGGACGTATAACTTGCTCTCTTTATAGAGCAAACCTTCATGATCCTTTTGGAGGTTCGGGGGATGGGAATCTTGAGAATCCTGTAAGTGGGGCTGATAAACCCCTTTTTGAGGTTTTCGTCGAGGTAACTTTTTAGATGCTTCAATTCTGGTTCCGAGAGGGGGTAGACGCGTCCGACGGGTATGGTGCTGCCTGGGAGAAGGTCAATGGGGCAGTCATAGGTCCTATGAGGGGGCAAAGCTTCAGCGGCCTTCTTACTGAACACATCGCTGAATTCCCCATATTGAGGGGGAACAACGGCTGACCCCAACTGTAGTAGTGCCACGTGTGGGTAACACGTCTCCCTGCAATAGGGGGAATCAAGCAATATTGAGTTTTGTGCCCATAGAAAGGAGGGTTGATGTAGTTTCAACCACGGTAACCCCAGTATGATGGGGAAGTTGGGAGAGGGAATCAAATCGAATGTAAGATATTCGGTATGGTTTTGGGGCGTCATAACGCGCAGGGGTTGTGTGACCCTAGAGATGGGCCCTGTGGATAAAGAAGTACCATCAATGAAAGTGACTACAAGCGGGGCATTTTTTGCAAGTGTAGGGATTTTATTTTGATCAATCAACTGAACATCAATGACATTTCCACATGACCCGGTGTCGACCATAGGTTCAGTGCGGATTCGATTTTGCTCCCACTGCAGAGTTAAGGAGATAAAATTGTAATTACTTGAGGCAGGGCCGGATGGAAACATTTTGCAGAGGTGATCGCTCTTACCTTCGGTCTTTTTGCGGATCAATGGACAGGATTCCACGATGTGGTCAGGGGCTGCGCAATACAGACACAAGCGATTCTGTCGTCTGCGAAGTTTTTCAGCTTGTGTGAGTGGACCTTTGACTGATCCGATCTCCATGGCCTCTACTGGTTGGACAGGTGGCACCGGAAGGAAGCGGCGGGGCAAGGGTGGCAAGCTAGACGTTCTCTCTGCCCGTCTCTCTCTTAAGCGCCGGTCCACGTCGATGGACCTCATCATGAGTGCCTCTAGGGTAGGTGGTTGTTCAGCCCTTGCGAGCTCATCTTTGAGGTTTTCACAAAGGCCCAGACGGAACTGGTTTCTCAGGGATATGTCATTCCATTCAGAGTCCCGAGCCCAGCGTTTAAATTGAGAGATGTAATCTTCTACGGGTCTGGTGCCTTGTTTCAAACTGCGTAAGGTGGCCTCCGCTGTGAGCTGCTTGCTTGAGTCCTCATAGAAGAGAGCCATAGCGTGCAAGAATTCCGGAAGGGGATCGAGGATGGGATCTTCTGTTTCAAGATAGGTGTTAGCCCAGGCCCTAGGTTCCCCACGCAGGTAGGAAATAAGTGACCGGACTTTAACTGCGTCATTAGGGTATGTACGTGGTTTAAGATCAAACATAAGTTGACACGCACTTACGAACTGGGATACGGGTGGGGAGGTGCTGGGATTGAAATATGGATGAGGAGGTGCAGGGATTGGGATATGGATGGGGAGGTGCTGGGATTGGAATACGGGTGGGGAGGTGCAGGGATTGGGATACTGATGGGGAGGTGCAGGGATTGGGATACGGATGGGGAGGTGCAGGGGTTGGGATACGGGGGGGGGGGGGCAGGGATTGGGATACGGATGGGGAGGTGCAGGGATTGGGATACGGGTGGGGAGGTGCAGGGATTGGGATACGGATGGGGAGGTGCAGGGATTGGAGTATGGATGGGGTGAAGTAGATATAATGAAACTGAAAGCTTTTTCAGTAGCAGATTTCCCAGGAACTTTTGGAGCTAAAATACTGATCCTGAGTTGTTTCCGTCTGCTGTAGATGGTCACACACCTTACAATGATTGTATGATCTCCTTTCCATGTATTAGCAATGATGAGAGCACACGTCACGCCTTCTATATCAGGTAACCGTCACACTACACAGATGTTACGGCAGATAATGGAGGTTGTACAATAGGGTTGTAAAGTGAACAGCCAACCTCCGATTTATTAATGTGGAGGCCGACCTAAACAATGTGTTCAATCAGAAGAGAGGTAACGAGTTCCCATCACTCACCTGACACCTCCAGAGTACTTCTACCTTCTGCTTTATCCGGAGTGTTTATCACTGTACAGGTATATTCCCCCTCATCAGAGAACTGGACCCGGGGGATGCGGAGCTCTGCGTTTCCTCTCCGGAACTCCGTCACGTCCACGGAACATCCCGGCCGGAATGACTTTACAACTCCATCGATATTCTCATACACGTCATGCACAGTGTCGTTCTCTGATCTCCTCCATAGTAATGAAATGGCTCTCTCGGTATTTAGATCAGATATATCACAGGGAATGGTGACATCCCCGTCCCTCGGTGATAACACACGTGGCATCCTCATTGTGACCCTCACAGCCCCTATAAGAGGGAAATAAAGTTATCTGTAGATACAAACTGAGGAATACAAAGTATCATTGTGATCTGTATCAATGTAATGTGCCGACCGTCCTGTCATATGTCACTGTCCCAGCAGAGGGCGACACTCCTCTCCTGTACATACTGCCCCCTGTCATACCCCCCACACTCCTCTCCTGTACATACTGCCCCCTGTCATATCCCCCCACACTCCTCTCCTGTACATACTGCCCCCTGTGGGAAGGATGAGAGAGGAGGGAAGGATGAGAGAGGAGGGAAGGATGAGAGAGGAGGGAAGGATGAGAGAGGAGGGAAGGATGAGAGAGGAGGGAAAGGGAGAGGTATTACTCTGCCCCTAGGCAAAAACAAGCATGTGAACTGCAGGGGTAGTTCTTTCTTGTGCCCCGAGTTGGGATTTAAAGCTGTTTTTTATAAAACATTGCACATCAGAAAGTATAGTATAGAAGTATCAGTTTGCCTTATGGAAGATGGAATAAGGGGAACAATTACCTTCAAGCGGCCGTTCATGTCCTGGCAGCAGCTGCTCATTGCTTGTACATCTTCATTTATACTTTCCAGTTCCTGAAAAACAGACATTTCCAACATCGAACATGTATCAAATGTAACATACACAACAGACTACCAGAATACAAGAGACCGGGATTGAATAGCTAGGAGGAAGCTATATAGAAGGTATAGGGAAAGTATAAGGATACAGAATATAAATATTACTGTGTATTATATTATTATTATTAAAGGATTTGTATACGCATGAGCAAAATGTATTTCCAAGCCCCATTCACACTGAGCTGCAAGCTTTTTCAGCGCTGATTTGAGCTGATCAACATTGAGCTACATTGCACATTTTGTTGCGCTACGTAGCGCTTCTTTTGGCAGTTTATCAAAGTCTATTGGGGCCAAATCACTTGAAATCCATTGAAAAATAGCTTATGTTCGAGCTACAAGCTGCATTGAGCTGCAAGATGTAAACATCTCCATTGGAATGCATTGGAAGAGCTACGTTGAGCTTCATATTTGAGCAATTTTGAAGCGGAAATCGCGCTACAAAACGCATTGTGTGAATGAGGTCTTACTTTGATCCTAGGAAACAGCTTTTATTACACAATAGAACACCACCATTAGGCTTGTACAATTCTTGAAGGTAGTTGCTGGGAGCTATGTTTCTACTGATATAGGTACACTGCTAAAACTACATCTCCCAAGAGCCCCTTCCATACACAGATTGTGGGCTCTTGGTAGCAGCATGGTTTTTCTGGGAAGGAAGTCAATGTATACATTTAGAAGGGATGGGCAGAGCTCTGCAATCTAGCAGGGAAGAACTGAGACAGGGCTGACAACACTGCTTGGGATTTCAGGGCAACAGACACAACTTTGTCAACCAACAACGGGAAGATAGGAGCTCACTGCATTTCTAGCAGGATCACCAGGTATTTGTGTACTTTAAATTGTTTGTTTTTTCCATTTTTAAAAGGAATAAAACATGGAGAAATGTGCATCATGCATCGCAGAGATTTACTGAATATTGATTTTGGCCAGACATATTGCTTAACTCTTAACCCCCCACCCCCAATCTTAACATCCTTTAGCCTAACCCTTACCTGAACGCTAACAGCTACACTGTACTCTAACTCCAGACCAACACTTAGGCCTCATTCACACACAACGCAAGCAAAATTGTATATTGCTTATATACGCGTCTATGCGCGTATATACGAGCATATATGCGTGCACTATATGCAATCCCAGAATGCATCACTCGTAATGGAATTTTTAATGTGCTGTACGCGCGTAAACACGAGTACATGCGCGTAAATACACAGAAATACGCTGCCCGGACGCATCTCTGTTCCATTCTGTTTTTGCGCATATATACGCTACGCAAATATACGGCTCTATACGCGGCTGTGTGTATGGAGCCATTTATTTGCATAGGTTGCATATGGTACAATATGCACGTACGCGCGCATACGTGCGGCAGTGTGAATGAGGCCTTACTCTTCCCCTGAACTAAAAGCCAACACTAAACTAACATCTTCTGCATCACACTGATCTTAAAGTGACACTAAACTCAGGAGTTAAACCTTAAAAATGCATTGAAGTACCTTAAGTATTAACAAAAATTTATCTTATTTGTGTATCAGTCGGCTGTAGATCCTCAAATCATCTCTGAATTGGTGCTGACACTGTCCTTCCTTCTGGAGGGTGACTACTTTTGTTCCCCATGGTCACTGTGTGTTGTAAAGTAGCCACCGCTCCAAGCTCGCTCCCGTGATGGGTTACAATCTCAGTACAAATTAGTAAACTAAACATGAGACTGTAGTCCATCACAGGAGTGAGCTTGGAGCGGTGACTACTTTACAACACACACAGGGACCATGGGGAACAAAAGTAGCCCCCTCCAGAAGGAAGGACAGTGTCAGCATGAATTCAGAGATGATTGAGGATCTACATCCGAGTGATACACAAATAAGATACATTTTTGTTAATAGTTAAGGTACCTGAATATATTTTTAAGATTGAACTCCTGAGTTTAGTGTCACTTTAAGCCTCCTGATATAGCGCTAGTAAATAACAGTACATAACACAAAGGTAAAATTTTCCTATTTTAGTTAGATATCATTGGTTATAGAAATATCAGTTACAGAATTATTTGCAGTACTCAGTGATACACAAACAAACTCCAGTATTGTTATTGGTGAAGGTACTTGAATGTATTTTGAAGGTTTAGTTCCTGAGTTTAGTGTCAGTTTAACCTGTGGGAGAAGATGTGTCAATGAATACTTGCAGTGCTGCCCCAAAAGATACCAGCACTGATTTCCTTGCACTGAAAGTGGAGAGCCAGATGTGTCCACGACAGTTTTTATTCCATCACTAAAACCACTTTACTTTGCTGTTGCTGAAATAGAATTGCAATTTATTTGAAATTACCTCTTTAACCTTTTTAAATATTGTTACAAATTCTTCATTTATGGATAAGCTCCGTCGTTCAATATCTCCTCTCAGGTTTCTCCGACTCCTCAAACTGTTCTCAGTGAAAAATATGGAGAGGGATTTAAGAGCTTCCAGCATTTCCTATGAAAAGAGGATTACAGTTAATATTAAAAAAAATTCACATTTGATGAACGTTTCTTTTTAAAAACACACACAAGTTCCACCTTTACACGTTACAGCTGACCTCAAAATATTTAAAGAAGGACTCCGGGCTTATTAAACATTTACCCTTGCAGTGCGGCTAACCCCGCACTGCAAGGGTTAAGTGCTCGTTTTAGTCTATTAACTAAAAAAAAAAAAAAAAAAAAAAAGGGGGGGAGAGAGATATACCACCCTGGTTCTCGGGGAGTG